CACTGAGCAACCCAATTCTTTGAATCAAAGAAAATTTCTTTACCCTCATTCCGTTAAATATTTTCTTTTAATTGAAACAAATTTAGTCGATCCAAAAAAACATTTCGTACAACTAAATGAGAAATTCGTAATTAAAAAAAGAAAATTTTAATTTAATAAAATATTATTTTCAATTAACTTATATTTTTTTACTCATGAGAAAATATTTAACGGATTGAGGGTAAAGAAATTCTCTTTGGTTCAAAGAATTGGGTCACTCAGTGCATTTTATTAAAAGAAATTTTTTTTACGAATAATTGTAAGATGAATCCAATTTCTAAAATTCTACATTCAATGTTTCTTTGAAATTAAGATGCGATTAGATAAATAATCGATTGATTTAAATTATCTTTGATCAATATCAAATTCTTTATAAACATGGAATATTACTTAAAGATCATACAATACACGCTAGACATTGGTCTTTTAATTATTAAGGTAGAAAAATGAAAGGGTTACTAATTTGTTTAACAGTGTGCAGTTTCGCTCTTGCGGAAAAAACTTTTCAAGATGAAACAGTATCTGCAGAATATATAAGTCAGTCCGATTCAGAGGCTTTAATTAGTCAAATTGACGAATTTTCAAAACTTTTCGATTTCCAAGATGTTCAAGTTCTTAGTGATGGTGTTTTGAATGGATTTAATGAGTCAGAATTTTTGGAAGCAATGCGCAAAGATCACCCGCATGCTCACCTTAATGTCGTAAGTTCAAAATTTATATAAGATTCATAAAATTTTAAAGACGTTGTCTTACCATATTGGGTAGAAAATTAAAATTTTTACAGATGCACAAATAACATTAAATTACATTTTTTTTAGTTTCAAAGTAAATTGTTTCTTTTATTTTTAATTAGATCGTTGTTATATTTTTCACTATGGTTTTGAAAATAAATGAATGCATTTTCAAATAATATTAAATGAGACCTTCAAAAAGTTATGTTTGTAATACAAATCATTTCAGATAGGAATGATCGATCTATATGAGTATAAATCAGAAGTACACAAAGTTGAAACTGAAGATCAATACATCCTCGAACTGCACAGGATAACGGGTAACAAGACGGTACCAAGCCCTCATGGTAAACCTGTGGTGTTTATTATGCACGGAATACTTGCATCATCGTCTGATTGGGTTATTGCTGGCCCAGAAAGAGGATTGGGTATTTCTTTTTTTTTTTTTTTAACACTTTTGGCAACATTTAAAAATTTTTTTGAATCGTTGATCATTAAATATGACCTTTAATGCAGGTTTTTTCCTCGCTGACGCGGGATACGATGTCTGGATGGGTAATGCTAGAGGCAACAGATACTCACGTGTGCATAAATGCTTGAGTACGAAACAAAAGAAGTTTTGGAAGTTCTCGTGAGTCTCTCATCCCTATTTAAAATTCAAGGTGCTAAAATTTTCTATAAATTTCACATTAAAAAATCGCGATTTCACTTACAGATGGCACGAAATTGGGATTTATGATTTACCCGCCATGATTGACTACGTTTTGAACACAACTAACAATAAAGATCTATCGTACATCGGACACAGCCAAGGAAGCACTTCATTTCTTGTTATGCTGAGTGAACGTCCAGAATACAATGATAAAATAAGAGTGATGTTCTCACTCGCCCCGGTTGCTTATTGCTCGAACATGTACAGCCCGATTATGAGATATCTGTCAAAATTCGAGAAGTCTATTAGGGTAACTACACTTTCAACAAATTTATTGTTCGAAAAACATCAAATGACCCGCACTATTTTTAGGTGGTGCTGGACAGAGTTGGGCCTTGGGAGCTTTTACCTAACAGAGGACTTTACAAACTGATAACTTCAAGTGTTTGTAAAGGAAGTTTTCAAAAAATTTGCCGCAATATCTTGTTCATCGTTTGTGGCTTTAACGACGAACAATTTGATATTGTAAATTTTTCTTTTGTTTTTTCTTCTCATTTAAACTAATTTTATTAGAATAAATGAAACATTACAATTACTTTTTATCCCAGTCGTTGATGCCCGCTATTAGCGCACACCTTCCAGCCGGATCCAGTATTTATCAGTTGTTCCATTATGCTCAGTTGATAAAGACAGGTAAGATAAAATTATCACTAAATTGCCACTAAAGATATACGTATAAATCGTGCGCAAAATTGATTATTGTTTATCATTTATTTGTAAGAATAACTCTTTTTTTACAGGCCACTTTAGACAGTTTGACGAAAAAATACTTGGTAGTTCGAATCCACCATCCTACAACTTTAAAAACATCAAAACTCCGATTTCTCTCATCTATGCCGACAACGACTGGCTTTCTGATGCAAAGGTCCGTAAATTATTAAATTCGAGTGGTTTATCATTTTTTAAAAAATGTTTTCACTATTTGAAAGTTAATATTTCTATTGCAGGACGTAAAGAAACTCTACTCAAAACTTCCTAATCCTATTGACATGCGCGCAGTGCCCAACAAAAAGTTCAACCACATTGATTTTCTTTATGGAATCGATGTCAAAACGCTTGTATACGACGACATATTGAAAACTATGTTGGATTATCAAAACATTTCCAACGCCATAGTACCCTAATAAATTAATAATGTTTTTAATATAAATTTATAAATACTCTTGTAAAATCTCAAATTTTGTTCCATCACCGTTCTCTAGCCCCCTCTAAAATTTATTTGGACAATAGATTG